TATCTTAAAACTTTTGGTTTTGTCTTAACAATCTTTTTTTCTAAGTAACCAATCATTTTAGGACAAAAATTCTATGTAAGATTTTTTTATAGTATTTTTTCTGTTTAACTTTTTTTTATCAACAATATATTTTTATATTTATTGTCTTTTTATGTCTTTTTTTTTACTCACAAGTAGAATTTTGTTTTTATTTTTTTTCTAAATTTATTTTGATTTAACCTTTAAATAACCTCTGAATTAGACAAAGTTATATATATTTTAATAAGAACATATTTTGTTTCATATTTTTTTATTAACAAATCTTATTTTTTGGTACACCTTATATATAGAATTACATGGATTGACAAGAATTTTTATTTTTAGTAACTTTAAACTTTAGTGAAAGCTTAAAAAGTAGGAAGTCATGAATTGTTTATCATAAGACACTTGTCATGAAACAAGATTGAAGGTTACTATAAAATTATAGCCAAACTGATAATTTAAACATATATATATTTTTTAAACACAAAAATCTTATTTTCTTTTTTTATTTTTAAATTTATTTTATCTTTTCTTTCTTTTTTATCTTTTTCTCTTCTCAAATGTGCTGGAAACTTCTATTTTTTGAAAGAGGATACTCAATTTTTCAAACAAGTATAAGACCTAATAGACAGACTGAAGTACAAGTTAATAAGGAAGCTAAATTTATGTCTTTCTTTCTTTCGCTTCCTTTTTGCAGTTTATTAAAAGGTGGATAAAAAAATCTTGTTATTTCTATTGACAATTTAGTTAAGAGAAAACCAAATTTTATTGTATTAGTGTATTAATGATAAAGTTAATTTTAATAAAACCTTATAAACAAATCTATCTAATTTTAACCAATTTGACTATAAGTTAAGACTTTTTATAAACCTTTTATAACCTTTAACTTTTACATTCACCTGATTTATATATTTGATCATTTATATATTGAATAAGCAGTTTTAAAAACTAATAAACTAAACAAAATTATCTTTTAACAAAAGTAATACTTATGTTTTATAACATTTTTATTAAAATAATTTTTTTGTATAGAGTTATTTTTTTATTTAGAAGTTTTAATTATATGTACTAATCATAATGTCAACTCTTAGAAAAACCTAGGACGTTAAAGTAACTTTGAACCGTTAGTCACTAATTTTATTAGTATTCCTAAATATAAAGCTAAGATATCAAGGTATAAGCTTAAACTTATGTTTAAGAACTGATGTTCTAGCATTTTATTTTATAAATAACCTAGATATTTTATGATTATCTTTTTTAACTTATCATAATGACTTGAAGATTTTAAATTACATGAAAACTTTATTTGTATTTATTTTATTTATAGTTACTTAATTTATCTTAGCAGTTCATTTAGATTTTAGCTATTAGTTTAAGTTACTTTTTTGTTAACCATTTTTATACCTTGTAAATTAGATAACACAGAACAGGGATCAAAATACAAACTCATAAATCTTACCAAGAAAAAAAATAAGTATTTTAATAAGACTTGTTATTTTAAATAAATAGAACATCATTTTTAAATTTTATAAACATAGTAGTCATTTTAGAATATCTTGTTTAAAGGTATTAGCTAATTAGATCTTTTTAAAACATCACATCCCCAAACAAAATCTATTGACATCATAGGGCTTAAAGTGTCTCTGGCCCCCAAAGTTTGGGAGCAAAGGCCACTGTTCTCATAAAAGCTTGCTGAAAATCTACTGACATTAAGATTAATAGGATTAATAGGAGAAAGACTTATAACTTATACATGACGCCTTTAGAATGAACACAAAGATGCAGGGGAAGTTGTCCTTTTTTTATGTTTAAAGTATGGACAGCTGTGTAGAAATATGATTGGACAAAAAGGATATGAGCTAATTCTAACAGGCTTAGTGGTAGAACCAGCCAGGCTTTTTATATCTAGATTCTGATTGGCCTCTTGAGTGTGCATTTTTCCTGTCTGGGTGTAGGGCAAAGCACTTTGTGGTATGGGGTTTTACAGTAAAACAAAGTAAAAACAAAGTAGGTCATATAATTACTTTATGGCTATTTTATATAGAATAATTTTAGGTTTTATGGCTAGCTTTAGGGAAGAATTAGTACAAGGGGCAGGCAAGTTCAGAAAATTTTGCTTTTGGAGCCTTTATTTTAAGTTAGTTTTTTGAATACCATTAACATAAGATCATCTGACTGCAGGCTGAGAAAAAAAAAACTTTTAGCACCAATCTTTACCACCTTAAACAATGATACAGAGTGGTAACATGCTTTTTACATGAGGATCAAGATTAAGCTGTTTTAAAAAACAATCTAAATAGTCTTAAAACAATTTTTAGTGTATAAAGTTGAGCACATTTATAGAGTAAGACTGCTTTGAGATTTTTATGGATTTTAACCATCATTCACTTTTTATCTTAAAATAAATTACTATACAAAAATTAATAATTTAGAAATTTTTTTTTAGGCAAAAACTTTGTTACAGTAACATAATGTACACACAACTGCCTACCTGGTAAAGAGTAGGACAAACATGGACAAGACCAAGGGAAAACTAAAGCTTTTAATTTAAGTTATTTAACTACAACTTTTAGGACAACTTTGAATCTCTAACAGTACTGTTAATATTAGATGATAATGAGTTAGAAACACCTTTTGTGTATCTCTCTATAGACATTGATGTCATGGCCTGTTTACAGGATGGAGGATGAACACAGAACACAAAACACAAAAACGCAGAACACAAAGAAAACGCAGGACACACATACAGACGGTTGACTTGAGTGATAATACACCACGTCAGTTTTATTTTTATATTCTAAAAAATTTAAGTTAGTTCCTTGTACGTAACCACCCAGGCATTGCAGCAATGGCCATAAATTCTGGAATGCGTAGCTTTAGGGAAGCAGATATCCCCTGACTCAGAATTTCCAGGTGGTTGCTCTAGGCACCAGGCATAGATCATGGTCCGGATTAGCAAGGATGGACAAGGGAAGCCACAGGGGGCATTTCTTATCCCCAGCTTCTCTTAGGGTGACCCCCTAAGATCTTGGGCTGACCCCTGGTGGCTGTGCTGGCTTAGGTCGCCCCTCCCTTGAGGGGTCTTACCTGTCATTGACTAACCAGCCATCTTATGGGGCTCAAGCAGCAATCACAGGAACAATGTGTTTATCGTGTGGCCTCCAGACCCCCATTGCCGTGGGGCTGGGCAGCTCTTGCTTACTTGCAGCTCAGGTCCTTTGTTATGCCTCTAGGCAACAGCCCTGTTTATCACAGGGACCTTGTCCGGAGCACATTGCTTTTAAACACTCTGGGCAGAACACGTACATTACTCACTAAATTTAATTCTTAAACTAGGAAAATGTATGTCAGTCCCCAACATCTCCCCCTATCTTCTTTAATTTTGAAGGCGAACACGCAGGAACACAGCCATGACGTTTTGTTTTTGCTGTTGCTGAGTTGCTTGCCTTTTTTTCCAGCACCTGTAGATTAACAGCACAAAACATAATACAAGGAGGAGAACACCCCAAATACTTCCAATACTACTAAGCATAGTTTTTAATGAAGCCAAAGGGTAGGCCTACGACAATTCACTGGCCAGGCCAGAAAAGAACTCATCATTATTAAAATCTGGCAGATTGTCTTGAAAAGCAGAGGTGATTTCTTGTTCTAATTTTGGAGGTCACCAGTTAGGTTTTGGCCTCCGTTTAACAATTTTCGTAATGACGTCCAATGTCGACTACTATTGAAAGGAATAGGAGTGACACAAAAATGGGAAAAATTCCAATCACAATGGAGAAAAGATTGAGTTGTCAAAACCTGAATTTGGTCTCCCAGCCACTGAACTGTAACGGCAGCTGAGGAAGCAATCGCTATTAAGCCAACGACTGCCGTGATTATCAGCCCAATGACTCTTTGTGTTCTATGAGCCAGAGAAGTTATTTTATTTAAAAGAGTGGTGACCAGGGCTGAATCGCCCCAAGATGGAGATAGGTTGACAGGCAACCATACCTCTGTACGAGCCTTGAGGATATATAGACTATGTAAGGATCTGTTAAAAGTAGCCCATGGAGTGAAGTTTACACAAGTAAATAGGGCACAATTTCCAGGGCAAGTCAACTGTCCTGTAGACTGATTCCAATAAACAGTTCCCACGAGTAAAAGATAAGGATAAGGAACGCATACCAGTAAAGGTTTAGAATGGCGACGCTGGAGGTGTACTTTACGCCTCCCTTCTCATCTGAGGACATATTCCCCACCCAGATTTTAAGGTTTCCTCCTGTAGCCAAGAGTTTCCAGATGTGCCCTTGTTTTTCTGAGCCCCGAGTAAGTGAGGCTGTGGAGGGGAAGGGCCTTTATCATGCCAGATAACCGTCGTTGGCAATGGCCTCGACAGTGTCTTCATAAACACGCCAGCGTAAGGAGTGAGCAGAACACTTTTCCTTAAAGTGGCCATAGGGGCTCCAGTCAACAATCTTAGGATTACTGCGTACTTCTTTTAGAACTTTACCTCTACATACGCTCCAATCAAAATGAGCTACAGGAGGTTCAGTGTGAGGCATAGAACAAAGGGGCAGAGATGGAGGTCTTTCAGTTGCGTTAGAAGGCATCCCTTTAAACCCCTTCATAGATAATAGTACAGTGCGGGCTGCAAAAGTAGAGGCGTTATATTGCAGACCCAAGCTTGAGTAGAGGGTACCAGACAATGCTGTCCTGCTCCAAAACAAATGGGATACCCTTGAGCATAAGTAGAGTAATTAGAACCCAGTCTCCCTTCATGCCCGGGATGCGGTGATTGATATTGACAAGGAGGAGGCAGCCATTTGGAATCATTAGTATAGACGATGACTTCAGGCTCCCCCCAAGATACCGCTTTAAAAAGGGGGGGATAGGGAACATAAGCCCAATATACATGCTGAGCTCAGCAGAAATAACCTGATCAACCAGAGAGGAGCATAAAATTAGTGGAAAGGCAGGTAGGCTAAGGGGCAGCCGCACTGCCAGCGTTACCAACTGCTTTCTCTTCTTTAGTTTTAGATGTCGTGTTGTCATCTTGTGCGGCATCTTGACTGGGACATCGCCTTTTGAGCCGGCGTACAGGAACCCACTCACAACCTTGTCCTGTGGAAACATAAGCATATCCCCGACCCCAGTGAAGAACTTCTCCCTCAACCCATCCTCCACCTCAAGAACTTAAAAAATCCAGTAAAACCCAGGCAAAAACAAATGTATGCTGACAATTTGAAAGCATTTATACTATTACTTTACTAATAACACCTTTTTATTTTTATTTATGTATTTATTTTTTAATAATAACGCAGCTTATTTACCAAAGATTACTAAATTCACATGAAGCATTTGGGTTTAATTTATGAGCGCTCCCTTAATTTTAAACCAGTCCGGAACCATATAAGCACAAACACGTTAATACATGGACAGACATAAAACATACCCAAACACGCACACTCTCACACACATACACACACACAAAGCTCTAATAAATTTTACCCTAGAACTCTAGTCATGAAATGGTAATGCAAACTCACCAGTCTGTAAAAGAAAGCTGGATCTAAATTTCTTTTGATGAGACTGGAACTTATTTACATGGCAAACTTTAGTTGCTTCCCCTGATAGGTAACCTAATTAGGTCTGTGGCTCAAAGTTATGGGTAAAGCAGTTTCTATAGCAGTTTGATTTTTTAAAAAACCTTTACCCCTTTAGGTAGCCTTTCAATTGTAAATACCGTAAACAATAGTTATCTTAACATCAGTAGAAAAAGTTTGCAGGTTTTAGAGTAGGCAGAAAAGAAGAGAGAGAAATGAGTTTGAGACATTTTAATAAGTGGTAGGTCGACCATTTTAGCTCTGAATTTTTCTTGATGTAATTTTGCCCTTCCATAAAGACTTGTGCACAAGAATTAGCTATAACCAGCTGGAGCCCTAGAAAACCTGACATGCCTTTGAATCTTTTCATTTACAAAAATACTTGTAAGTAGCGGTGCCATAAACCAACTGGGGTGCCCAACAGTCATTTTCTTTGTTTTTCCTCGTTTTTAAAGGATTTCGTATTTTTCTTACAGAAAAGCCAATTGAGATTAATTTTAGGATAAAAAGACAATGGAGAAGACCTTTTAGAATGCACCTCCAAACCTAAATTAGGATCCCAAACACAATTCCTAGGAAAAGAACCAGCTCAGAATAAACCAAGACCATCAACCAAAAACGGGAGGTCCGGATCTCAGGAGGACTCACCAGTCCCGCCAAAGGAGAACCTCGAAGTTGGAGGCCTAAAAGGGCCATGCCGGTGCCTGGCGCCGAGTCCGCACTGCTCCTTAGAGGGTCCTGAGTCTTCTCCAAGATCCTGCTGACTACGCCAAATTGTCAATGGAAAAAAGGCCAAACTCTGTAAAATAATTTTAAAGAGATTTATTCCGAGCCAAATTTGAAAACTATGACCCAGAGCCACTGCCAAGAGGTCTTGAGCAGTGGGCTCGCTGTGGCTGAGTCACAGTTTGGTTTCATACATTTCAGGGAGACAGGGGTTACAGGCAAAGTCATCAATCAATACATGGGAGGCACACTTTGGTTTGGCCCCAAAAGGTGGGCCATTTGGAAGGGGAGGAGGGGCCTTACATGTTATAGGTGGGTTTAAAGATTCTTTGGTTTGTAATTGGTTAACCACTTCGGTACTGCACTCATTGGCTGGGAAACCTTGCCCACAGCCAGCACTCATAGTCTGTTTTGCTCTTGTGTGATGAGGAAAGCTTTAAAGCACTGAAAGCATGTTTTACTTTACTGGCAGCTTTACTTGTAAATCAGAATAGGTAGCATATACATATATGTTTTCATTATGTTATTTTTAAATGTTCACGATTTTATTTTGATAAATGAAAAATTAGAATTAATTCTAATAAAAGCTGTCAAAGTAAAAGCTTTTGGCTGTCAACGCTCGGTCATATCACGGCTGTTGGCTAAAGTTGATGCTTGGCTGTGCGCATTCATCTGTGGCTATCGACTATAGTGGACGCTCTGCCTAAGTGGTCAAAGACATGAAGCTTTGTCTAAAGGCTTGGAATGTTTTAACATAAGGAGCTGTTATAAGCCACCGGACATAGATTTGTTGTGCAAATTGAGGATCTGTAGTTTTGTCTTGCATACCCTAGGCCTATTAATGGGTTACAAAGGAAGTCCCCAAGAAGAGGGGGGCATGATGAGGCTTGTCTGACCTCCTTCCTCCTGGCAGGCAATTTAGTTTTAGGATATTCCTTTGGCCACGAGGGGATCCATTCAGTCAGCTGGTGGGGAGGTGAGCCTTAAAATTTTATTTTATTTTACAGTGGTGACAGACCCTTTTAAGAATGTGATAGAAAACTATAAACCCTCTCCTCAGAAAACGGTTCTTTTTATTTTGCTTTGATGAACCATTTTAAATTATGCCGTAATTTCTGAATATCTAATACTCAATCCATTTTCAAATTTCCCTTTATAGTCCCAAGACTATTTTTATAGCCTTTTAAAAAAAAACTAGAATCTAATCACAGTTCACATTGCATTTGGTTATTTCTTGTTAGTCTTTTGAAATCAAAACAATCCTTTTAAGTTTTTATGACATAGACTTTTTTTTTTGAGACAGAGTCTGTCCCATTAATGTCACACTGACGAAGGCCACTGAGCCCTGCGGTTATGGACTTCCACTGTACGTGGTCGCTAATGGCATCGGTTCACTGTGGCTCCAGCCACTTCCATCCAGCCTCTGTGCCCTGCCCCTGTCCTCCCAGGATGCTCTGGCTGCTTCTGTGGGTGTGCGGCTGAGCACCTCCCCCCCCCCGTGAGATCTTCACACTCATGTGCAAAGTTGTTCATGTGGCTGTTTCTGCTCACTCCCTCCCTTGCTGCCACTTTGAATTTGAACTCTTTCTTTGTGATTCGAGCACTTGCTGGATTTGGGAATCAAAGGCCCTGTTTCTTCTAGATTTCTTTCTGTGTACCAGGCTTAGTACTTTCAACATAATTCTTTCACATGACCTGCTCAGGAACTCTTGAAGATGGATACACTGAGGCTCAGTACTTGCATGACTAATGTCGTCACAGTCGGGCAGGAGGCTGGTACCCCAAACAGGAGCTGGGCCGGGCTGCAGAGGCGGACAGGAGCAGAGCCTCTCTCGGTGGCCCTGTTCCACTTCGTAGCAGCCACAGCCACCAGTGTCTCCAGACCCGGCCCCTCGTGAACCCAGCTAGAGGGGGACCGCAGCTGAGAGCGAGTCCACTGTGGCCAAGCTGTGCTCTTCCAGGGTGAGTTTAGATGGAGTCCAGCCTTGAGGGGAAGTAAACCCAACCAAAACCACAAAACAGCCCAGGGAAACGCTCAAACGGGGATGTACGTATCACGACCGTTTCTAGCAGGTAGTGACGGATTGTTCGTCACAGCCGGCGCAGTCGGGATGCCCAGCGGAAGGCAGGACGGGTGTTGAGACGGGACAGGTTTCCCGACGGCCAGGTGTGAGCGGGCGGCAGGCTCGCTCGTCACTCTGCCGAGCTGCTCTCTCCCAGCTTGGATTTCCTGTCTGTAAGCGAGGGGTTGGACACATGGGCAAGGTCCCTGTCACTCTGACGTCGTGTGAGCCTTGCAGGAGCTGGTGGTGTCTGGGGCCGCGCCCTCCACAGGCCGCGCCTCTGCCCTTCTGCTGTGCCTGCTCTTGACTCCGTGTCTGGTCCCCAAGGAGGAGCCCCCACGGGTGGACGGAGAACCCTCTACGCTACGGGCACCATGGCCACGCCAGCCGCACTGCGGAGCCTGGAAGAAGAGGTGACCTGCTCCATCTGCCTCGATCACCTGCGGGACCCCGTGGCCGCTGAGTGCGGCCGCGTCCTCTGCCGCCTGGGGGCCGCCCGCGCGCTGCGAGAAGCCGTTCAGGAAGGAGCACGTCCGCCCCGTGTGGCAGCTGGCCAGCCCGGTGGAGAACATCGAGCGGCCGAAGGCGCACGAGGGCCGGCGCCGGGAGCCGCAGGGCGCGAGGGCGCGCGGCTGCTGCGCTGCTGTGCGGGCGTCCCGGGCACCGGCCCCCGCGGCCGTGCTGGTGGAGAAGGCCGCACAGCCCTGCCAGGTGAGCCCACCCTGCCGGGTGCCCTGCCGCCTTCCCAGACGCTGCGCCCGCAGCCCCCGAAGCCTCGGCCGGGCATCCACCTGTCCCCTCGGCTTCCCTGTCCACAGGAAAAAATCCTGAACCACCGGAGTGCCCTAAGGAGGGACAGAGAGAAAATTCAGGGCTTCCAGGCCAAGGGAGAAGCTGACATCCTGGCAGCACCGGTGAGCACGGCTGCGGGAAGGACGGGGAGGCTGCCTGTGCAGAGCAGGCAGAGCCGGGGTGAGTCGGCGGCTGCCTCGAGTGTCCCCAGGGCCACCGCCCGCGGGAGGACGCGCTCGGGCTGGCAGTGGCCGCCCCAGCTCTGTGCGTCTGAGCTGTGTGGCCTTGGGCCCGTTTCTCATCTGAGAGGTGAGCGGGCCGCCTGGATGACAGCCAGGGTCCCTTCCCTTCTCTGTGACTGTCACCTCCGCTGCAGGGTCGGCGTCCGGCAGCTGCTGCTCTTCCGCCAGGTGGCGGAGGAGGCCTGGCTTCATTCTTCTCGTAGAGAGGGGAGAAAGACACGGTTTCCTGAGGGCCGAGGGAAGCCGCAGCGCCTGGCCAGAGGGAGCTGGCTCCGGGTAAGAGCTGAGGGAGGCGGAGGCGGCTGAGGGGCCCACCAGCTCTGGCGGCCCCGTGCGGGTGAGGCGCGGGCCTGCGTGTCGCGGGTCTGCACGCGTGGACTCCACCAGGCCCACCGTGGACATGTTCGGAAAAGGGACAGAGCGTCTCTCCTGCACGCGTGCGGACTCTGTGGTTGCTCTCTGAACGGTGCAGCGCCGCAGCGCTTCGCGCAGCGTGCTCACTGCGCAGGGCGGCGCCGGAGATCCACACGACCGGGGTGCACGGAGGCTGCGCCCTTTTGTATCAGGGACTTGCGCACCCTAGATTTTGCTGTCCTCGGGGGCGGGAGGTCCTGGAACCCACCGCCCGCCGATACGAGGGACAGCGGCAGTTATGATGGGGCGGCACCTTGAGTGCTCCCTTAGATGAAGGCGCCAGAAGGGAAAGCACTGACAGGCTCCAGTTCTCGGGGAGTGTGTTTGTTGGGAAGCCGGCAGTGGAGGGACACTGGGCCCCGGGAGAGGGAGAGATACAGGCAGAGACAGGAGACAGCCCGAGTCCAAGGAGCATCTCCAGGCCCTCGTTGTCATGGACACCTCCAGCCCAGCATGGGTCAGAGGGGCACTGAGGAGACTGCGGCTGGCTCTGCTGGGCAGGGGGGCTGCAGCCAGGGGCGGACAGGGCCCCTGAGGAAGCAGGGCACAGCCCATGTGGCCGGACGCGGTGACACAGACATTGGGGACCTACCAGCGGGGTACTGAGGAGAGGGTTGAGCACGCTCCGATGACAAGCACGCTTCTGGCAAGAGGCAACAGGCGGATTCTGCCTGGAGGGAGAGTGCTAGCTCATGAGTGAGACCCCTTGTTCCCAGGGCCCGGGGACACGCTGGGTTGCCTCGAGCAGAGCTGGCTGCCAGGCGGGCACAGTTGGGTTCTGCTCACACAGGGCTGGGCCAACTGAGTGCATTCACTGCTTGGGCTTCTCTGAGGAGAGGAGGGGGGACCAGGAGCCCTTGATGGTTCCTCCCTGCCAGCCGCTGCAGAATTCACGAATGGAGGCCTGGTGTGCCCCAACGCAGGGTCCTCCACTCCGCCCCCCCTGCAGAGGCGTCAGCCCTTCCCCTGTCCTGCCCCTGCAGATGAAGCTCCAGGACCAGAGGCGGCACATCGTGGCAGAGTCTGCGCAGGACCACCAGTTCCTGAGGGAGCAGGAGCAGCACCTGCCAGACCAGCTGGCGGAGTTGAAGGCCATGGGGAGCTCGCCTGGCTGGCCCTGGCCATCTCCCAGCTGGAGGGCCAGGCGCAGCAGCCGCGGCCGAGCTCCCATAGATGAGAGGCGCTCCCGGGCAGCAGGTGCCAGCCTGACATTCATGTGTAGGACCTTGGAGTCACTTTCTCTTGAGGCTTCAGTTTTCTCCTCTGAAATATGGAAATGGTAACCCTTAACCTCCCCACTGACTTCCAAAATTGCATGAGCATAAAATGAAATCACTGGCATGATGCACTTCAAAAAATAAATTTTCTACAGAAATATGTTTAAAATATTACATCTAAAAGTGTGGTAGATCCACTCTCTCTCCTTGTCAAAAGAAAAAAGAAATAAAAGTGTGGTAGAAACAGAAGCGAAAGTTATTAATATTACTGTCTTCCATTCTCATCACTGCCATCTCACAAGTCACTGGGACACTTACTTGTCGGGTGAAGCTTTTTATGGTGTCGTGCTTGGGGGTGGCTGAGGGAGGGCTGACTGCGGCTCCCCTCAGAGACCCCGAGGGCCTGGAGATGGGCGGCTGGGGAAGGGGACAGGGTGGCAAGGTTTTCTCCAGGCCTCGGAGTTGCCCACAGGGAGCAGGATGGAGACCCGGCACCAGGTCCGGAGCTTCCTGGTTTGGTGCAGAGCAGGCTGTGAGGATGCGACCACACCACATCTCCTCCCCGGGACCTGCCATCGCCCTGCCCCGAACAGGGCTGGCAGCCTTGCCCAGCAGCTCTGCTCTTCCCACCCTCACAGCGAGGGGGCGTGGCGTGGCGGGCAGCCAAGGGGCCTCCCCACTTGGCAGGACCACCCAGGGTCTCTAGGAAAATGTGTCCCAGGATGCATGGCAGTGTCCCCCAGTACCTGTGTCATTGTGGACCGCATACCAGGGGGCCACTGCCTGCTCTCTCATCCTGGATTCAGGCTCACAGAATGGGGACCGGCAGGAATGTTAGACTCTTCCAGTCCAGCCCCTACTGATGGGGTCACTGAGGTCCAGAGAGCAGAGACTGCAGGGCAGGTCAGGAACCCAGTAAAAGCTTGACCCATGTTTCCTGACTCCCACACTCTGTGCTCTTTTCGTTTCCTCCCGTTTTATCCAGAATGTGCGACCAGCATCTCCTCCCTCCAATGCCATTCCTCACCTTCCTCTCATCTGACTCTCTGACCTGAGCCCTCACTGCTCTCCCTCTCCCCCTTCTCCCCTCCTTCCCCCCTCCCCCCTCCTCCTCTCCTCCCCACTCCTCTCCTCCTTCTCCTCCTCCTCCTGAATTTGACAGGGTTTTCGGAAGATGCCTGGAGGGAAAAAAGAAGGACTGATATGGAAGAAATTATTCAGACAATTGAAAATGTTGTCCTAAATGCAGACTGCAGCAGAGATGTAAAATAGAAGCTCTGGAAGCTGGTAGAACTCTGGCTGAATAACTGGGGTAGAGCCCATGCAACTTCAACACCTGAAAAGGGTCCTAACTACTTTACACATGAGCCAACATCACACATCTGATGCTGCCCTTCACTGTGGCCAGTCCAGATGACCAAGGGGAGCATCAGGAATTACCTGAAAAAGAGGACTGCTGCCCAGAATATGGAGAAGCTGGAACAGAGTTACCGGGGGATTGTGATCCATGACAGTGACGATGGGTTGGACCCAGAGATAGAAGCAGCTTATGAAAAGTTTCATTTGGAATCAGAGAATTACAGTAAGCAAGAACAGTAAAGTTAAATTTCAGCATCCGTTTTATAGAGCAGTTTCTATATGGTGATTTAACAGAACCTGGAAAAGCAAGAAAATGTGTCACACTAACACCAAATTCCAGATGTCAGTTGCGTTCCTAAAATATGCAACTTTAATTTTGTTTAACAGTATCTATCACAATAAATGTTATTCCTTATAACGTAAAAACAGTGACACTTTTCCCTTGTCCCGCAGTGAGCGTCACCCTGGACCCGAGGTCGGTCAGCGGGCACCTGCAGCTGGCGGGCGCCGGCAGGCGCGGCCTGCAGCAGCCTGTGCCAGGGCCCTGCCCGCGCCCCCAGCAGCTCCGCCGGGAGCCGGGCGTGCTGGGCAGCAAGGGCTCACCTGGGACAAGGTCTGCTGGGAAGTGGAGGTGCAGCGCGAGGGCTGGTCTGAGGACGGAGAGGAGGCGGGGAGGAGACAGAGGAGGAGGAGGCGGAGGAGGAAGAGGAGGCCGGCTACGGGGATTGATATGACAACTGGGAAACGGACGAGGACGAGGAGTCCTTGGGTGAGAAGGAGGAAGAGGAAGAGGAGAGGAGGAGGTTCTGGAAAGCTGCATGGTGGGGTGGCCAGGGGCTGTGAAGAGGAAGGGGCCTCTCCCTGGGCGGAGGGCGGTGTGGACGCTGCGCCTGTCCTCCTCGGGCATCCAGGCCAACACCAGCCCCAGGCTGAGCTCTTCTGGCGCTGCGGCCGGAGAGTGGGCGTCGCTCTGGATTACGAAGGGGGCACCGTGACTTTCACCAAGGCAGAGTCGCAGGAGCTCATCTACACCTTCACTGCCACCTTCCCCCGCGCCTGGTCCCCTTCCTGTGGCTTAGGTGGCCAGGAACGCGCCTCGTGCTGAGCCCCTGAGCCCCACACCTGCCTGCGGCCGCACCCACAAACACTTCACGTCTCTGGAGTTCCAGAACTCTCTGACGGGGCAGGGGCCCTGGCCTGGGCACCCGGGGGAGGTGAGAGGAGGGACCCCACGTCCACTGCCAGCGCCTCCCCAGCGCCGGCCAGACCTCGCTCCGTGCCGCCGCTCCGTGTGTGCTGCCCACCGACCGCCCACTCCCGCTGGGTCGGGGGAGACTCGGGGCTCCTTCCCTGTTTGCCCACTGCCTTGGTCCGCTCTGCGCTTTCTCCGCGAACCGGGGCGGAGGCGGCGTTCCCGGCCGGCCGGCCCGCAAGACCCGGGGAGGACCTCAGGGCGCCTACGCGGCTCGCTGCCCTCAGACCAGCGTTCCGCCTTGCCCAGATCTCTGCTGCCCCTTCCCTGGCATTTTACACAGGCCTGCCCCGGCCCACCTCAGAGTTAAGCATACCTGAAAACCCTGAAAATAAGCAGTGAACATCCGCTGAGCCTCCGAGAGCGCTTGAGGCCGGAGCGCCCGTGGAAACCCCCTGGCGCTGCCCGAGCATTGTTCCCGCTCCTCCGACACGGGCGCGCGCTCCCTCGGCGGTCCCCGACCGTCATGGCCTTGGGGGAGGACCTAGATACGTGTGGCTTTGGGCTAACAGCTGCGATCAGTGGTCAATAAGTTGTCTCCCTGGCTTGTTCCTTGCAAGGGGAGTTTTTACAACAATCTAGCATGTCCCGCTCCTGACCAGCACATTTAAGAAGACCCGGCAATATCTGGTGCAGCAAAAGCCCCTCTGCATCCGGGAGGGTACTGAGCCCCTGTCCCCGGCCCTAGCCAGCACTGAGGTTCCACTTTCCTAAGAGGGAGTGGCGTTGGGCAGCCAGCAGTGTGGGAGAGGAGAGGAGGGCGGCAGGGCTGTTGGGAGGAGGGCGGTGTCCCGACCCGGCCTCGGTGCGGGTGAGCTCCCTGCTCCGGGCACATTGACGCCAGCCTCGTCCTTACCGTCGCAAGCCCTCTGCCGCCCGCTCTAGGAGAACTCCCACAGCTCTGGGTCTTGGTGGCTGCTTAGCCACCACACTGTCTTGGAGTTGCCCACTTTGTGTGTGTCACATACTGCTTGAGTGACATCTGCATCTTACCTCTGCCTCCTGGTTTTGAGAGCTCCTAGCGGGCAGACACCAAACCTTACCTTGCATCTTCCACGGCGCCTGGTGCAGTGCTGGGCACGGGGTAAGTGCTCAATAGGGACTTGTTGAAGGAACAGCCTGCAGATACACATGTACATACACAACTCAGATGTCACCAGACCTTCTCAATCTGGGTACAAAGAGGTTCCATTGATAGTAGCAGCCCAGGGTTTTTCTTCTATGTCTAGAACTCTGGGACTTGGCTTTCTGTCCTCTGTTTACATACATGTTGTCATTTCTGGAAGTCCCCAGGAAAGAGCCTCCCATGGGAGCAGACCAGCCATCACGTGGCCCACCACTGCCTCCCTCCTGCTGTGGAGCCCCTGGGCTGAGGGCCAGTACCCTGGAGCACACCAGAGCCTCCCAGGGAGGGGCGACACCCAGCATCCTTCCTTGGAAAACAAGCAGTGTCCCGAGGACACAGAATTATAGAGATTCAATCTTGTGTCCGAATACTTTCCACTGTTTAACCATTTCTACAATGTCCTTTCTGATTTTTAAAAAATTGCCACCTTAAAGATGGAAAAGGGCGATCGTACAAAACTACCTCTAAGATTATACTAGAGGCAAAGAGCATATTTCCACCCTGTATTCTCTTTGTGGACTCATTTAAGTTTTTTATTTATATTTTTTATATTCATATTTTTTAGTTATTTATGAACTATGCTTACACATATGGTTAACTATTTCTACAGTGCTTATTACAAAAAAGAACATTCCCTGCCCCATTCCTGTCCCTAGAGACCCAGTTCACCCTTTTTGGCAGACTATTTTGCTGTTTACCTTCATTCTTTCTAAATAACTTGAGTTTGGGGTGTATCCTCTGCTTTCCCGCTGTGGAGAAGGAAGATTTCTGTCCCTCTCTTCCCACCCGTTCTCCTCCTTTGACTGTGGTCCTACTGGTTAGGTACTCAGTATGCTAATTATTACCTAAGTAAAAGCTGTGTATAGCTGGGCTGTGCATCCAGCCATGATTACTTTTCCTTCCCGCACAACAATTTGTCTTCCCTGGAGTTAATAATTGCTTCTCCCCCTATTTTGCTTCATTTCCTGTGCCCTGAACTCTTCACCAGCTGTCGGAAACCTCCAGATGTTCAGCACCAGGTGCACGTACCAGCGTTTTCTTAGTGTGACTCTGCTGAAGGCCCCTGACCAGGACTCTGGAACAGCTGCTTCCTCACCTGTGCAAGGTTTTCCAGACCTCCCTGCATCGTACTGGGGTCCCCTGTTGCTTCTGTTTCTTTATCCTATGGTTTTGCTCTTCTTAATTTACTTCATTTTGGTGAAACATCATCCAGTAGCCTCCTGAGAAATGGTGCATGGAGGTTGACTTTTTAAAATAATGAGTATCTGGAAATATCTTTATCCCACTTTCATACTTAATAGGTTCACTGAGTATAGGATTCTTGGTTAGAAATAATTTTCCTTTGGAATTTCAAAGGTATTTTTCCGCTGCCTTCTTGCTTCTATTGTTGTTGGTGGTATTTTTGTGGCACTGTTATTTCAAATCCTTGGCATATGGCTTGTTTTACTGGAAGTTTTTGGGTCTTATCTATATTCTCACTCTTAGATTTCTCAATGTCCTTCATATGAAGTTTTTCCTCCATTGTGTTGAGTAACTCAGTGGATTCTTTCATTCTAGAAATTCATAAGCTTTCGGTTCTAGGAAATTTCATCTAATTATTTCTTGATGATTTTTTTCATCTTCATTTTATCTGTTCTCTCAAATCCCTTATCTCCAGCCTTCATGCATCCCCTGAACTCATTCATTGAGCACCTGTGATGTGCCAGAATGTTTCTTTTTTTTTTCTTTTGGCATATTATGGTGGTACAGATTTTAAGGTTTCAATAAATGCCCCCCCACAAGTCTGAGTTTCCACCATCCCCCAGATGGTGCACATCTCACTCATTAGGTATGTATATACCCACCTCCCTCCCCCTCCCACGTGCCCAATACCCTATTACTGTAGTACCTATGTGTCCACTTAGGTGCTGCTCAGTTAATACCAGTTTGCTGGTGAGTATATGTGGTGCTTGTTTTTCCATTCTTGGGATACTTCACTTAGTAGTCTGGGTTCCAGCTCTAACCAGGAAAATATAAGATGTGCTATATCACCGTTGTTTCTTAGAGCTGAATAGTACTCCATGGTATACATATACCACATTTTATTAATCCATTCTTGGATTGATGGGCACTTGGGCTTTTTCCACAGCCTTGCAATTATGAATCGTGCTGCTATAAACATTCCACCCAACAAGTGCAAAATATACATTTTTTTTCATCAGCACATGGAACATTCTCCAGGGCAGACCATATGGTAGGGCACAGACAAGTCTCAACAAATGGTTAAAAACTGAATTGATATTAAGTATCTTCTTAGACCACAATGGAATAAAACTAGAAATCAATACCAGGAGGAACTCTGGAAACTATACAAGTACATAGAAATTAAACAAGATATTCCTGAATGACCACTGAGGCAATGAAAAAATTAAGTTATAAATCAAAAAATGTCTAGAAACAAATGAAAATGGAAACACAACATAACAAAATCTGTGGGATTCAGCAAAAGCAATGTTAAGAGGGGAGTTTATAGCAATAAATACCCACATCAAAAAAATAGAAAGATTATAAACGAACAACCTAACAATGCATCTAAAGGAACTAGAAAAGCAAGAACAAACCAAACCCAAAATTAGCAGAAGAAAAGAGATAATAAAGACCAAAACAGTACTAAATGAAATAGAGACCAAAAACAAAAACAAAAGCAAAAAATGAAAAAGCCGGTGTGGTGGCTCATGCCTGTAATCCCAACACTTTGGGAGGCTGAGGCAGGGGGATTTGCTAAGGCCAGGAGTTCAAGACCACTCTGAGCAACATAGCAAGAGTCTGTCTCTACTTAAAAAATAACATGCAAAAAGTTTGGCCAGGCACAGTGGCTCATGCCTGTAATCCTAGCACTCAGGAAGGCCAAGGTGGGAGGATCACTTGAGCTCAGGAGTTCGAGACCAGCCTCAGGAAGAGTGAGACCCTATCTCTACTAAAAATAGAAAAAATTAGCCAAGCACAGTGGCACACACCTTTAGTCCCAGCTACTCGGGAGGCTGAGGCGGGAGGATCATTTTAGCCCAGGAGTTTGAGGTTTCTGGGAGCTAGGCTGATGCCATGGCACTCTAACTGGGGCAACAGAGTGAGACTCTGTCTCAAATGAAAAAAAAATACAAAGGATCAGTGAAAAGAAAAGTTAGTTCTTTAAAAAGGTAAGTGAAGTTGATAAACCACTAGCTAGACTAAACAAGAAGAAAAGAAAGAAGATCCAAATAAAATCAGAAATAAAGAAGGAGACATTACAGCTTTATTTATACATTTATTTATACATTACAGTGTATTTCATTACCACAGAAATATAAAAGATCATAAGAGACTATTATAAACAACTATACACTGACAAACTGGAAAACCTAGAAGATATGGATACATTTCTGGAGACATACAAGCTACCAAAACTGAATCAGATTAGCTAATTAAAAATCCAAAGGTAAGAAGCAACATCTGCTATAGATAGGAAGGAATCAGTGAAAAAACTCTGGAAGTATGGAGAATCAAACTGAAAGGACACCCCCAAAAGGGAACACTAGCTCTCTAGCAATGGATACCAATGAAAATCAGAACTCTGAAATGACAGAAGAATTTCGAATGTAGATTGTAAGAAAACTCAATGATATGCAAGAGAAAATGGATACCCAACACAAAGAAACATTAAATAAATAAATAAAAATGGAGGACTTGGAAGAAAAATTCACTAAAGGAATTAAAACATTAAAGAAATATCAAACAGAACTTCTGGAAATTAATTTATTCAAGGAATTACAAAACAGTGGAAAGCCTCAAGAATAGGGAAGATCAAGCACAAGAAAGAATCTCAGGGATTGAAGATAACACCTTTCAATTAAACAAGTCACTCATAGAGATAGAGCAGAGAATAGAAAAGAGCAAAGCATTTACAGAACAGAGCAGACATTTACAGAACATTTGACCCCAAAACCACTGAATATATGTTTTTCTTAGCAGCTCATGGGACATTTTCTAAGATTGACCATATCCTAGGCCACAAAACATGTCTCAACAAATTTTTAAAAAATAGAAATTATACTATTCATTTTCTCAGACCACATTGGAATAAAATTAGAAATCAACTCCAACAGAATCTCTCATCTCTAAACAAAGTCATGGAAACTAAACAACCTTCTGCTGAATGATTATTGGGTTAAGGAAGAAATTAAGATGCAAATCAAAAGATTCTCTGAACTGAATGATAAAAGAGACACAAGTTATCAAAATCTGTGAGACACAGCCAAAGCAGTCCTGAAAGGAAAATTTATATCCATAAATGTCTACATCTAAAAGACAGAAATGGAACACATCAACAATCTAATGAACCATCTCAAAGAACCAGAAAGAGACTCTAAACCTAGCAGAAGAAAAGAAATAACAAAGATCAGAGCAGAACTAAATGAAATTGATAACAGAAGAACTATATGGAAGATTAACATAGATAACTATAGATAACATAGATAACTATATGGAAGATTAACTATATGGTTCATTGAAAAAATAAAATTGAAATGCCTCTTGCTAGATTAATGAGAAGCAGAAAAGAAAGGACTCTAATAAGCTCAATCAGGAATGGAAAATGAGAAATTACAACGGATATGGAAATACAAAATATCATCTGTGAATACTATGAAAATCTCTATGCACATAAATTTGAAAACATGGAGGAAATGAACAAATTCTTAGAAACACACAGCCTCCCTAGGCTCAATTAGGAAGAAACAGAATTCCTGAACAGACGAATATCAAGTACCAAAATTGAAGCAGCAATAAAAATCATTCCTAAAAAAAGACCTGGACCAGATGGTTTCACACCTGCATTTTACCAGACCTACAAAGAAAAACTGGTGCCTATCCTGCAGAAACTATTCCACAACATCAAGAAGGAAGGAATACTCCCCAATGCATTTTATGAAGCCAACATCACCCTGATACCAAAACCAGGAAAGGACGCAACAAAAAAGGAAAACTATAGACCAATATCCCATATGAATATAGATGCAAAAATTCTCAACAAAATTCTAGCAATCCGAATTCAGGTGCTTACCAAAAAAATAATCCATCATGACCAAGTGGGCTTCATCCCAGAGATGCAAGGATGGTTCAACATACACAAATCTATAAATGTAATTCACCACATAATTAGAAGTAAAAACAATGACCATACGATTCTCTCAGTAGATGCAGAAAAAACATTCGACAAAATTCAGCACCCTTTTATGATAACAATGGTTAACAAACTTAACAAATATAGACGGGACTTACCTAAAAATGATCAAAGCCATAGATGACAAACCCACAGCCAACATCATTATGAACAGGGAAAAATTGAAAGCATTCATGCTTAGAACTAGAACCAGACAAGGTGGCCATCTATTACCACGTCTATTTAACTTAGTGCTTGAAATCCTAACCAGACAAGAGAAGGAAATCAAGGGCATCTGAATGGGGACAGAAGAGGTCAAACTATTGCTCTTTGCTGATGATATGATCTTATATCTAGAAAATACCAAAGATTCTGGCATGAGACTACTGGAATTGATAAACAAATTCAGTAAAGTCTCAGGTTATAAAATTCAATGTACAGAAATCAGTAGCATTCCTATATGCTAACAACAGTCAAACTAAGAACCAAATCAAAGACTCAATAGCCTTCACAATAGCAACAAAGAAAGTAAAATACCTAGGAATATATTTAACTAAGGAGGTGAAAGACCTCTACAGGGAGAATTATGAAACACTGAAGAAGGAAATAGCCGAGGACATACACAGGTGGAAAACCATACCGTTCTCATGGGTGGACAGAATTAGCACTGTCAAAATATCTATACTATCCAAAGTGATCTACAGATTCAATGCAATCCCTATTAAAGTACCAACATAATTTTTTACAGATCCAGAAAAAATAATTCTATGTTTCCTATGGAATCAGAGGAGATCCTGTATAGCAAAAACAATCTTAAGCAAAAAGAAGAAATTGGGAGGCATCAATTTACCAGATGTGAAAATCCTCAACAAAATGCTAGCAACCTGAATTCAACAGCACACCAAAAAGATAATACATCACAACCAACCGGGATTTATACTAAGGATGCAGGAATTGTTCAACATGTGCAAATCAATAAACATGATACATCACAGCAACAGAATGAAAGGCAAAAAGCATGCTCATCTCAATAGATATAGAATAACATTCAACATCCCCAGCAGGACATGGTGGCTCACGCTTGTGATCCCAGCACTTTGGGATTATGAGGAGTTCAAGGTTATAGTGAGCTGTGATCACACCATTGCACTCCAGCCTGGGTGACAGGGCAACACCCTCTTTGTTAAAAAAAAAAAAAAATCAACATTTCTTCATGATAAAAACACTCAACAAACTAGGCATAGAAGGAACATACTTCAACATAATCATGGCCATGCATGACAAACCCATAGCTTACATCAAACTGAATGGGAAAAAGTTGAAAGTTCTGCCAAGAAGAGAATAAGACAAGGATGGCACTTTACCACTTTTATTCAGCACAGTACTGTAAGTCCTAGCCAGAATAATCAGTCAAGAAAAAGAAATAAAAGGCATACAAATTGGAAATGAGGAAATCAAACTGTCCCTCTTTGCTGATGATAGGATCTTATATCTAGAAAAACCTAAAG